CTGCACTTGCTGTGTATTCATCACAGAAGAAAATCTAACAAATCAGTATACGAGTATGTAACACTGAAGTTACCTTTTGTTTGTAGCTGTTCATTGCTGCGCTTCTGTCTGTTTTATAACTGCTTCCTAAACTCTGCTGGAGGTTAGGCTGCATGTTCAAGATAGATAGCTCAATATCTGAGTACTCACTGAAAGCTTGATACAGCTTTTTTTTAACTTATTCTAGAGTGATCCAAGTGTTTACTGTATTTCATATACAGAGGGTTTAAATGGATGTTTACTGTACTACTGAATGCTTAAGTATTTCAGCAAAACCTTTTTTAGTATGAGAATGGTGCTCTTATGCTTGTAGTATCTATAGGAAGTCAATCTCACTTCATACTGTCATACATCCACTTGGCATCAAGCTTGGTTCTTGTTTGGGAATAGACTTAAAAATAGCAAATGACTGGCTTGTTAAAAGTGATTTGTAGTGAAGTTCAGAATTTTACCTGCTGTGAAACAAACTACCTCTTGCACATGTTGCTGTCTCTTGGTTATGACTGGAACTAAGAAATAATTTGTAATTTCATCATAAAGTTTTAATTTACTCAGTGTGTGATTACAGTCTAAAGATGGATAAACAAGTTCTGACAAAATGGATGAAGGATTCTGCATCTGTGCTGATCTTTAAATAGGAGGTTGGAGCTTTCTGAAGATGTCCCGGGGGAATCTTGCATTGCCATCTTTGAAGAGGTCACTTCTATAAGTCAGTAAAAGAAAGCTCTTTGGTTGAATTACTGCTGTCTTAGACTGTGATGCAGTTAGCTTGCAGTGAAGTGAATAAAGTTTGTCTGTGTCTTGGAATAAAGGAATCCTGTGCAAATATGTATTGTCAGCAGTTGTGCAAGTCCTACAGAGCAAGAAAGACAAACAAGTTTGGCATTCATTATTCTTAGCAAGACTTTGCTGTATTTATTTCCTACCAGTAAGTGCATTTGCTGCTTTTTCTCCAGTTCACTACTGAATTCTGTTTCAATATAGGACCTTAGTTACACACTTTGCTTAAATTTAAATCAAAGGTAGTTCACATTTGAATGTGTGATGGCAGATTGCTCATTTGCTATAAAATTTTGCAGTAGAAAAGCTTTGTAGCATGCATAGTTGTGTTCAATTTTAAATTTATGTAAAGTCAAAATATCTGTAACTTAAGAGCAAGTTATCTGACTGCCTTTAGTATGCACCTTTTCATTTCTCAGCTGTTCTTCTCACACAATGTTCAGGTTGGTTATTTTTCAACAACCATATGAGTTCATGAAATTGAGCCCATTTTTTCATGTTCTCTCAGTTTTTATGCCTTCAATTAGTGTTTTTGTTGATTGTTTTTCATACCAAGGAAAGTCTCCAAGGACTATGGGAACTCTAACTGGCTTCCTTGCAGGTTTGTCCTGCAGTTGGTATAAACTTAAGTCTAAATGTTCCTTCTAGGAAGAAAAGTTTTCAGTCTTTCAGGTGCAGTTTGGTATCTAACTAGTGGTTAGTGTTTGCACCTGGTCTCCAGTCGGGGTGGGTGCCGGAGCTTCTTGAAAATGGGGTGCTGCTGCTCGGGTGAGAAAACCAAGTTTCTCAGTCTTTGCTGGCAGTGATCAGAGCTCAGGATGCCCTCAAAGGAGCAGACATGCATGTACATGCTGGGGATGTTCTTACCCAGAACCCATCTCAGAGAAAGAAAAGAGAAGTACATTTATAGGGCTGTGGCTTTTATGTTGGCTGGGATTACAGGTAGTAATCATCATAGTAAAGGAATCCTCATTCTTCACGGTATTTTATACCTTAATTAGTGAAATTCTGTGCAGTATTATAGGGTTGGTAGCCTTCCTCCCTGTAAGCACTTGCAGCTTAAAAAGTAGTGATGTTTAAAAGCTATATATATGTAAATCGTGCTGAGCACAGGGTGATGGATAGATGTGTAAATAAGTCTCTGGTTCCACCTAAGTGCCTTCAGACTTAGGGTGTGATTTTCTGTAATAGATCTTTTTTTCTGTGAAGTTAGAACTATCATAATGGAATTGAATAGTCGTTTTATGATAATGCTTGTCCAGTGCTTAAATAGTTACCCTTCTGGTACCTGGTGAGTAGATGGGAAGTGAGGTTGACTTGGGTCCAGCAGTTATAAGCAGAAACAGTAAAATGTAGCTGATAATTCCTTGCTTTCTGTAGGAGGAAGAGGAATGTTCTCTCTCTTTGTTTGCATAATTGTTAATATATGTGGCCAGAGGCTTTTTTCCTCCTACCTGGGTGTAGGTTTGCCATTACTTAGTCCTCCTATCAAAAGTCAAGCATTTCTGAGTTAATTTAGTCAGTGTTATCATGGAGGTGCATGGGAGGCTGGAGGTGTGCTTGTATGTTGTGGTTTGATAACACTGTACAGCACAGGGCTTCTCTATAAGTTTGCAGTCAGGGAATAAAATATTGCAGTCATTTTTTAGTGTGAAAATTGAAGCTGTGAAATGAAGAAACACTTGCAGTGTTGAAAAAGATGATAGAGACCTTAGAATTGCTTTATAATTTACATGCAAGATGTGAGAGAGTAGTTCTCCAGAGAGCTTAGTGTTGACCTGCACAGAAGACCAGGGCCATTTTAAAGCCACGTAGTCCTCTCATGCTCTGCATTTCTATTTCATTAACAACAAGTGAAGAAATACACTGTAGAGGCACAACCAAAATAGGAAAGAGTGATCAGACTTAAAAAGTAACAACATCATGTGTAGGGTTTTGTTACAAGAATATCGCCTGATTGAATCTTAGTATTTTTGTTCTGTCAAACTGCTTAATCAAGACTTACAACTGTTTGTTATCAAATCCATAAGCAATTTTTTTCCCCACAAATGGATTTCTTAATGCTTTTGTATATTGTTCTGTTACTTGCTACCTACTCGGCAGAGAACAAAAACATTTATTGGAACAATTTAAATGCGGTTGTAGTTCCAAGGGAAAATCTTTCAATTAATAATATTCTGTTTTCTGGATTCATACTGTCTATTTAATGGAGACAACTGCCAAGCTTTGATTCCTTTTGGCAAACACAAATCCAATTAACATGTCTGTACCAAATGGAGCATTTTTTATATTAAATTTGCAAAAGGATTGTAGGAGTTATTTTCACTTTGAAGGTTTTTTCTTTCTCAGCAGCTGCTACAACTTCTTTCCCTCAACAATAGTTGAGAGAGAGCTGAAGATTGCTATACTGTCATCTCACTGTGCTTTTAGCTGGGATTCTCACCAGCTCGTTGACCTATAATGCCTATGCACATATTTGAAAAGAGCACCATACTTTTGATGAAGCCAGGAAAAGCTAACAAATGTGAACAAATGTGGCAAAAACACCGTTTTCTTGGTATATCTCACATATCCAGACCTTTATTGAAGTAGCAGAAAATGCTTTTGTTGTAATTGGATGTAAAAATAAATGCTGCTTACTAAGAGGTTGCACATAACTCAGTCCTGGGGAGATGTATGGGGAATGCTGTTCTAACTCTAGCCAGTTTTAACAGCTGCATGGAAGAATAGGCCAACAAGATAATGGGTATGGTGGCATTGAATGTCAGATTACTTATACAGTTGATTTACATGGGCAAGATTAGTTTCCTTCTATAAACTTGCCACTTCTTTACTACTTTAGCTCTGACCTCAGTCTTACTTGGATTTGGTAACTCTAGAGTTGTATGTTAATTTCATCTATTGATGGTACAATGCTTTTGTTGTTGCAGTCATGCATTCTGTTAAAATGTAATGCATGTTGCATGTAAACTTTGCATGTGACTTCAAAAACAAACTGTTAATGGAAAAAACTTCAGGAGAAGTTTTTGTGCTCCACACTTTTGTGCTCTACACTGCAATTTAGAAATGCATGAAATGTGTCTACATTTCTTAACCATTCTCACAAAACCTAGTCCAATCTGCCCTGCTTTTCCAATAGTAGGAGGCTTCCCGTATTTATAAGGAGAAATTGGCTGATGAAATGCAAGATGTGAATGTGATATGCCTGGCACTATTTCTATGCTTTTTAACTTTGCCTCAGGAAAGTCTAAGGCTGAATATATTCAGCTGTTCTAATAGCTGAAAATGCCACCTATTTCAGAGAGAGGTTTAGTTCACTGCAGCTACTATAACATTTGCCATACTTATCATTTCAGTTGTATGATTTTCTGCATTTTGCTATGAAGTCTACGTAAAAGTGAGCTTGTTCCAAACTGGTGTGTTAATCAAACATTTGATACTGGATTGTTGCTTGTGTATTGAGTTATGGAATCTCACAGTGTATTTTCTTTAACAAAGTGTGAACTGTAACAGCATGATATGTTTATGCAGCTCAGAAATAACTTCTGGCAGTGCCAATTCAGAGTGAATCTTGTTTATATCGCTTGGAAACAAACTAACTGCTTTTTCAGAAATATATGGGAAAAAATTATTTGCTAGCCTAGGAGATCTTAAATCTTATTGGACTGTGTTAACCTTGGTTGGTACAAATGTGTAAAGCAGCTTGCAGTGAAGTAGCAGAGGTGTGTACAAGGCTTGCTGCTGACAAACTTGATACCAGATGCTGCTCCTGCTTTAAACATATCTACTTTCGTTATGCCAGTGTCATTATATGGTTCCTCAATTCCTTAGTCCAATGACATAAGCATTGTGAAAACCAGGTATTCTTGGAAATATGGATTGCACCCAGCTGATGAGATCTTGTCAATTTCTTTGCAAAGCTTCAAGATGTCATCATTACTCTTTTTTCTAGTTCTGTTGCATAAATAGATTTAGAAGAGTGGTCATTTTACTACAAGTCTATCTTGGCACATGGAAATGCAGTCTTTACAAAATTGTTACTGTATATTTTAAGTAATGTCCTTTAAAGATGTCTCTAGAACAGTTTTTATATCCTGTGCTCCAGTTGGTTAAATGTGTTGCTGTGTGAAGTATCACTATGATTTAATGAGCTGTGCTTTCCTTTTTCTTTGCTCCTTAAGGACTTAGTAAATATTGAGATGTTTTTGACTGCTAAAGAAGTGGAAGAGTCATTGGAGAGACAAGAGACTATGACTTGCTTGGCTTGGTGTCACGATAACAAATCCAGGCTCAGAAAAATGAAGGTATGAAAACAGTGTCAATGTTTTGCCTAAGTAGCGGTTTTCTAAAGTAGTTGGTTATTTGATATGGTCAATTTGGTTTAAATTATAGGTCTTGAATGAAGCCTTGTATAAAAGTAAGGGCAGTAAGTACAAAATTTATTTTTTAAGGTTAAGGTTACTGGTGCTGAACCAGCCCAAGTGAATGCCAAACCTTACTGCAGTGTATGTACTAGTATCTCGGTGCATGTGGATCTGTGTACAGCTCTTTGTATCCTGCTGAGGATGTAGCTCATAATTCATATATGAAGAATGAGATTGATTTGTAAACCAGTGTCTGAGAGAAATATCATATGGATTTGTATTTTGAAGTGCAATATATGTAAATCCAGAACTAAACAGACGAGTGAAAAAGCAGCTTTACATGAGGAAAGTATTGAAGAGTTTCTTACAAAAATGAAAACAAGTCTTATTAAGCAATGAACAGAGTAAGTTGTCTTCTAGCCATTGAATGTTGTGACCTGAACACGCTGTATTTTGGTTCCTGTGCAGTTGGTTTAAATTTCCTTGACTCTCAAATTCTACATTTTAAAACATGTTGTAGTCTTTTATAGAGCTTGCAGAAATCTGTTTGACTGTATTAATCACGACCTATGCCTCCTTCAGAAGTTTTGGTTTTTAAACTAAGCTTTCTTTAATGAAAAATTTACGTATCCTTAAAGATAAGCAACGAGTGACATCTCTGTCACTTGGGCACCAAAATGAGAATGAACCAAAGATGGGACACGAGTAAAACAGCCAATGATTACTCTAAAGAAAATGATCTTTGTTTGGAAACCATTAAAGGAAAGCCAGAATTGGTATGTGAACATTATTGCATAATTGTACTGCTGGGGAAAAAATATATGTATGATTTTAATATATTAAGTAATGGAAGAAATTAATGGGTGAATATCTTAATTTTTCATCAGCAATCTTTGCCAAACAAGTAAGGAAAAAATCTTCCCTGTCCTCCTCTTTGGAGAATGGGAGAAAAATTCTGCAAGCCCTACTTAGTCTCTGCAGGTCAGGTTTTCTTGGGGGCGAAGGGGAGAGCTGTGGGTTTTTTCTCTGCTGCTGAAACATGTTAATGAAATAACTGAGCCCTAGGGTTTGGTATTGTTAACAATTAGTAAGTTCGATTAATTTCTTTAATAGAAACCAACTTAACCAGTATTCTAAATAAGGGTTTTGTGTAGATCTGAAGAAAGAACTCTAATTCTAGTTGAGAATTGCAAATCAAGTCAAAATTTTACTTTGCAAACTATAGTCTTGAGCACAGAGGAAGGTGAACTTGGAAAATTTACTTTTTACTCCTTAAACAGGTGTACTTTAACAGGACAGAATATATCATTTATTTTCAAGTGGTTTACATTTCTAATCTTAAACCAAGAAATTGCTGCAACGTGCACAGCGGTCACCCCAGGCAGTTTACTGATGGAAGTTTGGAGTTGCTCAAATTCCTCCTGAAGTCTCTGAGGGGTTTTGGATGGTATTGTACTGATGGACAATACAAAAAGACAACTATTCATCAGAAGTTTTGGGGAGCAGAAGATAGATTTGCCAAACAGAGCAACTGAGGGGAACTCAAAATAGTTATTTTTCAAGATTCAGATGGGACTCTGGTTTTTTGTTGTTAGGGTAATAATAATAAAATAGTTAACTGTGTCTCTACGTGGAAGTGTAATTAGTTATTCTTTTAGGGGGAGAATTTTCTTAATTCTATATATTCAAAGTTTTTTTTAATAGATTTTTGTGACTTGATGATGGAATTTGATTTAAAGGGACACTTAACTTCATTAGGCTTCAAATTTTACCTTTTTCCCCAAGCAAGTAAATGCCACTTGGTTTTTTGTTTGAGATTTGTTTCTAGCATGGCTTTTAGATGCTTGACAACAGCAGTGGGGTAGAAGCATGAAAAAAGGGAGCTGGGGAGAGGTCCGCAGCAGTCTAGATCCCATGCTGCTTTCTCTTAATAGGAGGGCACTTTCAGAATGAGTTCAAAGGCATATTTCTTCCTTGCAGTTTTTTGGGTCAATCTTTCATGTCTTAAACTGGCTCCAAACTTCTACTGAATCTATTGCTTTTAACTTTAAGATAGTACAGAGAAGCCACCTGCTACTCTTACTTGCACCCTAAATAATGATGATTTCAGTCATCAAGAAAATGTTCACTCCTCCTAAATGCTGAAATTTGGAAGGAGGCAAATGGAAGAGCTTTTTGTTTGCTTTTAGGGAATTCTGTGTTGCTGTCTTGTCTGTAGACAGCATTTCAAATTTCTCTGCATGAATACCTAAAAGCAAACAAACAAGACTGCATGTAATTAACACTTTTTTGTTGTGCACACATAGTATTTAACATCTGGAGAAGTGTGGTTTTGGCACCATCTAAGACCCTGTCTTATCTTTAATCTCAGAGCTGTCTGGAGTTCAGCCTAAGGATTCAGGAGTTCATTGAACTCATTCGACAGAACAAGAGACTGGATGCTGTGAGGTATGAAAATAGGATGCTTTACAAACATTTTTTACAACAATAGAATGCTTCATCAGCAATGTGACTGTTACTGCAATACCTGAAAGCCCCACAGCTGCAGGGAATCTTGGTAGTGTTACTATGATCATGTTTTGGATTTTAGTTGAGGTTATGTTTTTCGTATTTTCCAAAGGTGAGATGTCAGACCAGATGCAACTTCTTTGAAAATCTGTTATTTAAAATCCACATCTTTTCACTCCACAGTCAAGGATTACAAAGTTGGTTTTAAAACTAAGCATTCTGGTGGTGTGATGAACATACTTATCTTAGTTTATGGTAGGAACTCATTGCAATTTTGTTATAAAAAAGTACTAAAAGGTGAAAGAAACACGTCTGAAGCTTATCAGTTCATTTGACTGAATTATCTTCTGTTTTGTTATCTATAATCTTGTTTGTCATATTTAGGCTTTAAGCCAAGTTCTCTTTTTGTACTTGTATTGAATGGATAACTTGATAATTCCTTGTTATGTGATAATAAGTCATGTCTCATTCCCTTCCCCTTGCCCCAAATAAACTCACTATCCATTTTATCACTTGAACTAGTTTAACATTAGAACTTTGAGAAGAAAGTAAAGCTGCCCAAGGTGGTGCAAATGAGTTGGAGAACTCAAGTTAGGTCTGATCATGGCCTGGCTTCAACCATAAGATGATCTTTCTGGCGGTTTCAGTCCATGAATTGATTTATGCTTTTTAGTTTTGGTTTAAAGTCTTGAAATAATGCTCCAGGATAATGCAGGAAACCAGTTCTGCTGAAATAAGTGCAAATTTGATAGTGGAACTATAAAATGTGTTGGTAGTTCTTACAGGAGTACTTTTTCCTACATCATAAGTTATGATGCAAGAACAGAGCTACTGGAGCTTAGATATGGAGAAGGGGGAGAGGACCCCACAGCAGGTTCTGGTTGTTTTTATCTTTAAGGGTATTTAAACCTAGGGTGAGTTGACAAGCTTTATGGCTGGATTTGATGCTTCTGTAATACACTGCAGTGATAACTGTTGCACCTTAAGATTTCTGACAAGTTTTATGTTGAAGAAGTGGGAAGTATTACTGCCTTTGAAGTTGTACTAGAAATTGAAACCAGCAGGAGGTTTGTGCTTTGTGGAAAAGCTGCTTTTTGGTCTGAGGAGTACAGAGCTGTAGGAAACATATCAAGTATCATAAGTGTAGACTGAAAGCATTTTTTAGCTCAGTCATCTGCTTTAGATGTAGCAATTCCTCTGCAGGGTGAACCAGATGATTTCTCTTGAATAAATGGATGGGAAACTTGGTCCCTCTTGAATTTAGGAAGAAAAGGAAAAGGCAGCTCAACAATGCTGAGAGGCTAGCCTAATGCTAATACCTACACCAAAATGACCACCTCTTAGTTTTAGGGGTTATTTCGGATTTGTTCAAATCTCTCGTTGGCTTTGAGACACCTCATATCGCTCCTACTTGCACTTAACTGGTTGTTGTCTTTCTTATGACCAAACATGCAGTCTGATAAAACTGCTAAATAATTGTGTGATTGAGGGATGGAGAGGCTGCCTTTTAGATATGTACACATTTTTTGACAGAGCTCTGAGGTCCTGAGGAATTAAGCCAGGTACTTAGGAAAAGGATGAAAGACTGAACTACTTGGTCTGTCTTCTGAAGCCCGTTGTGTCCTTTATATGCAGTGAATACTGTGCCTTTATGCCTTTAGCTTTACTCTCTGCTAATTTTGCTTCTTTGCCAAATGTGCAGTCATGCATCTTTAACAATGAATAGTCCATGCTCAGAAAACTACTTTTTTTGAGCTTCAACTTCCTTATGTAGATTAGAAAGTGGAATGGGGGTAGAGCCGAAGTAAAGAGATGGGCTAAGAATTGGGACAAAGTAACAAGCTCATTTGGTATTCTGTTACTGTTTCTGGAAGTTTGTTTCCTCCTGGTTCCTTTTCCTTGTCAAATCTAGTAGGATTTGCAAGTTGTTGCCCTCATTTTAGGGCCCAGAACTCTTGACATGGGATAATTTGTACTTTCATGGGCTTTCATTGATTTGTGGTTGCTTCGTTTACCTTTGAGGCTTTCTTTGTAAGCAGGTATTAAAGCATGTTTAAATCCTTCAAGATTTAAAACTTGTTTGTCCTTTCTACATTGGAAATGAGCTTCAGTATGTTATGCTAAAGCATGTAGATTCCAATACCTGTTCAAGTTCAGGGTTGCAATGTGTTTACACTTGGCAGTTGTAACTTGCCACAGATGATAATGCTGCTTTAATTCTATAACTTCTCAGAGAAAAGGACCCACAGAGAAGGCCTTCTCAATTCACTTTTCTAACTTGATAATTTCTGATCATTTTGTACATTAAGTTCAACTTCTGAGTGCTGACCTTAAGGAATGTGGTTTTAAAAAGTTAGCTTGTGGCATTGTGTGCTCCTTTGCTTCCAAATAAGTGTGTAACGAGGGAAGGTGTAGCATAAATCTTGCTGCAATCCACTGGAACTTGTGTTTTTATTAGCTTGCTTCTGTTAAGTGCCTGCAGCAGGATTCTTTCAGTATTGTGTCCCTGGTGCAATAAATAGGTCAGGCATCCATTAGAAAGCAGAGAAAGAGGCTGTTTACCAAGTAGTTTCCTGTATGAGTGGAACTCAGAGAGCTGACATTTTGTTGAGACGCAGCTGGTGTTTAAATAAGTTTGAAAGCTTTGCTTGCTGCCTGCTGCGAATCTCTAAAGTGCCGTACTGCTTTTAGGACGAAACTGATGGGAGCCTTAAAAATATTTATCTTATTAAATGTGTTTGAATTTCTGTAGCTTTTTAAAATAGAAGAAGTACAGACTGACCTTGCTCTAAGGTAGCTTATCAGAGCAGTTTGCAGAGAGCTTGTTTCAAGAATGTACAAAAGCTGTTTTTTCAATACAGAGAGTAAATCACTTCTGCCTAAGTACATCACAAAGTTCTTAGGCTAACCCATCAGCCTGTAACTCCTGCAGTCTCTTCCGATTGCTTAAAGTCCATGCCTGCTGCAGTAGCAATGAATGACACTAATTTCCTGCTTTCGGGACTCTCACTAACTTCTTTCTCAGAAGTCTGACAGCATTCTGCTGCTTTGCTTTGGTGGGGAGTCGTGGATGCACAGTTCTCAGCTAAAAGCTTAACAAAACAGCCTGTAAACTTCAGGCATAAAGGACAAAAATAGTAATTAAGAGTTACCAGTGATGTACGAAGAAAATGGCCGCTACTAAGTTTAGTATACTTATCACCAATGAGGGTATATATGCACAGTTTTTTTTCCTTCATCTTTATCTCCTGAGGGGTGGGGAAGTGCTGTTTGAACAGTTGCATAAAAATAATAAAACTTTAAGTGCTCCAATTATAGATTTTTTTTTTTGTAATGATAACAGTCTCTGAGATAAATGCATTCAGGAATGGGTCCGAAAAACTGAGCAGACAGAATAAATCCCCCTGATAACACACTGTGTTCATGTTAAGTTATTGCTTCTTCCTGATAAATGCTTTCCGAAAAACATTGCGCCCTCATACAGACTGTAAATCAAGTCTTCACAGATATCCCTTCCTTTCTGGATTTGCCAAGCATACTGTTTGCATACATACTTCCTCAGGCTGAAAGAACAGCTATTTCTAACAGAAGGTGTTTACAGAATTTACAGAATCACTCTGGCATTTGAGAAAGGAGGATTCGGTGATTTCAGTGATAGCCCACACACAGTGATGAAAACCTTAACCCACTGCTCTAGCTATACTGACCAGTATGTCTAATGTAGTAAAAACATTGGAAGTAAGCATTGCAACATTTGTTAGTGTTCATACGTACCTCCAGGAGTTTGACATTTGGAAAAGATGGAGAGAATGGAAATAGTACAATAGAAAGGGAAGGGTTAATGGCAGTGACAGGAGCAAGTAAAGTGGTACTTAAATGTTTTGCATCCACAAATTCTCGTAGTTTTGCCTCTTGATTCCCAATGTTAACCAAAAAAAAAAAAAAGCCATGAATTAATGAAATTGCTTCTTTCTGAAGCATATCTTCATTTTCACTGTGGCTTGCAGATGCACAGTAGGTGAGGTTCAGACATTAGTATCTCAAGCTTCATGGGAGGACTTCCTTGTTTTTATAAGGGACATGGCAGAGAAGATCAGAAGACAAAAACTAACACAAACCAACTTAGGAAAACCTAATTCTTTCTGGTAGAACTCAAAATGGTACCATATTGTAAGTTGTTCAGTACTTCTCAAGTCATTGAAGTGCTGGCCTGGTTAGGACTTCTCACCTGAAAGGCTGGCATATGCTGGTTTTATATATGTATACACAAAATTTATTCTAGATATTCTTGAACATAGGCATTAAGTGTGGCCAGTATTTTTGTGTCGCAGCATCAGGTCTTCCTATAAGCAAGAGGAATGTAAGAATAAGTAGTTGATGTTTGACAGGGAGTAGGGTCTCGAATCTAAAGAGGATGTTGCAAAACTGAATTACTGCTTCTGTTTTGACATCACAGAACACAAGTGCAGAGTGATCAGATCATTTTATGATTTTTTTTTTCCTCCTCTCCCCTGTGTGTGTGCACAGTAATCCTATTTGACTGGTAGTTCTGAATTTTTGCTTTGTCTGAGCTTTCTGTTAAACAGCTGTTGCTTTCATGTGCATGGCTACACAAACACTTGAGCTTTCTTCCAGCATTTTCAGGCTGCTTAGGCTCTGCTCTCAGGACACAAATTTTGTACTTTTCCTATCGTAACAGTTATCACCTGGGGAACAATATTTACATTCCTGAATTGCTCACCCAAAATAGGAAGCTGAGTGGAAACACTCTGTCCTGCATAACTTCCACTGCTTCCTGGTTTGGGTGGGAGAGGAAGTAGGAGCACTGAAGCACTGCTGAAGAGACTGTTCTCATGGTATTATTGGCGACCTAAGCACAGTTAGCAGAACACAGAATTAGAAAAAATTACATCTGTATCTCTCCTTTGGGAGAGGAACGGTTTGGACAATTGAAGAATACTCCATGCTTTTAAAATCATCTGTACTTTTAGAAAAAGAGTTCTAAAAGATCTCCAAAAAGGTTAAAAAGAGCACTCGTGGTAGTTGAGAGGTAACTTTTTATCTTCACTATAACACAAGTTATGGAGAAAATGAAGCACAGAGGAGACTTTTCTACATTTTAGCAATGCCAGAAATTCAATACAGAGCTGATTCTATATTCAGTCTACTATGCAACACTGTAATTAGGGACTTTGGCAGAAATGCTGAACTAACATGGTTACATGAGAACCTTCATTCAGGGTTTTAAAGCAGTCAAGTGTCCCTGTCTGATTATTCTCTAGTTTCTCAGCGTTTTGTGCATGTCTTAAAATTTGTCTTTACTTTAAAGATGTTTGTGGTAATTCTGTTACTTCTTTCTATTTAAACTTTCAGCCTTATGTGTCTCTTTTCCGTATGATTTTGTGGTAGTTATACTTTTTTTCATAGTATTTTAAAAGCTGCTGGTAGCAGGGTGGGTTTTATTGCATTGCCCTGAATTTCTGGTAGTCTGTACAGAAACTGATGCTGCCTTCCTGCCTATACCAAATAATCACTTAGGCAAAGGTAAATGTTCTCAAATGTCAATGAAAACAGGATAGAATTTTAAATGCTTTGATTTTTAGTGGTTCATAATACCACATTTACCACATTATTGGACCACATTCCTTTCTTACAAGTGTATGCAAAAGAGCAACACATTGAGCTTGTGTAAATGGAGACATTTCTTCCACCAGTCTTGGATCTGTCATGCTGGGTGTAGGTGAGGTAAGATTATGTGCTCAGGTAGAAAGTTTGGTTTCTAAGTAATTGCAGTACAAAATTCCTGGCGTTTGAAGTTTATTCTTGTATTCTTATATGTAGGACTGTAAGTCCTTTAAGTACACCACCTTTTTGGTTGTGTATTGAGAACAGAATTTAGTTTTTCTCTGAAGTCTAACATAACATGATAGAGAAAATTTACTTGATGGAGAAACAACTGGAAGGTCTAAATTATCTGTTTCAGACATGCAAGGAAGCATTTCAGCCAGGCTGAGGGAAGCCAGCTGGATGAGGTTCGACAAGTGATGGGGATGTTGGCTTTTCCTTCAGACACTCATATCTCCCCCTATAAGGTCAGTAATGTTATGCTTGAAATTCAGTGTTACAGTGGGAATAATAAAACAAGCTTGTAATTTGTTTTTCGGTAAAACAGAATGCAATGATGATCCATAGAAACTATTTTTTTCCTAGTTGTACTTTCTAAAAAATCCATTTATTATAGTCCTTAATTTTAATACCAGTCCTCGCCTACAGATAATAGTGGTAGTGGAAGGTAGACAACAGTTAAGCTGGCATAACAAGGCAAGAATCCTGTGAAATGACATTGCCACATATCAGCATGGCAATATAAGCACATTTTTAAACCACTGATGCTAAGATCAACATAAATGGACTGAAAGATTGGATGTAAGACAACATGAAATATTTAAGTATACTATTAAAACTTCAAAACAAGTTCTCAGGCCAGTTTGATCTCTGGATGGGGGAATTCCACAGCGCAGGTGATCACAACAGAAGGTGATGGTGGTGTCCATCCTTCTTCCTTCTGTCTCTCCTTGCTTAAGAAGTAAAATGAGGAGAAACAGAGAGAGCAAAGAGGTGCAGGGTAAAGCATAAGGGCTGATGTCTGCACCATGATAATATTACTGCCTACGTAGTTTGGTATCACGTTTTGAGTTTCTCACTACTGCTACACAGTGTGTTGTCTTTGAGTTACTTTCTTTTCAATCCTGGTTAATAAACGAAATACATTAAAATAAGTTTTCTCCTATTTGCCTCAAAGTGTAGCGTGTGCAGTTTGACAATATTGAGCTTATTTCTAAGAGTGATCAGCACTGCTATTTCTCATAAAAAATGTGGTTATAGGTAGGGAGAGGTGCGAGCAGAAGGAGGGATTTACCTTTGTATATGGAATATAACAAGTATGTTTTGAGAGTCTTCTCTTCCTGCATGACTCTTCATGGTGTGACTTGAGAGTTCATAATATCCTTCTGTGTGTTTGGTTCCTGATTATCTTAAATCCTTTTTAAATGAATGCTGTATTATGTACTTAGACCTATTTTTTTGTAACCTGTAGCATTACAATATATAAGAAATGTGTCCTCGAATGCATGGCATTCTCTAACCTGAAGCTGTGCCAGCTCTTCGGATTTAATTTCTTGTTCAAGTGATTGGAAGTTCTATAAACGGTATAGAGTACAAAGATGTGTTGGTAGAATTAGTCTGACTTAAAGTAAAATGCTTCTAACTTTTCAACAGATGTCTGTTAAGTTGGATGTTTCCAGTTCAGAAGCTTTAAAGCAAATGTCCACATACTAATGTGGCTTCCTAAATGGACTGGTATTCTAGAATGCCAAACAAACAAAAATCCTTATGAAGATTTACAAACTCTAATTAGAACATTTGATGGATGTGGATAGAGCAAGGAAGAGTGTAGGGCCAACGCTTATTGCAGAATCACTTAATTGAACCTCTGGATAGATGTCTTTTATTAGAAACTAAAGCACGTTCTTGGAACTAATATCTCGTGTTTTCAGAAGCTCATGTGCTGAATATCATCATGTCAGCTATTTTATGTAATGCTTTAAATAAAGTTTTGCTAACGTAGTGTTGAGGTCCTTTCTAAACGAGTGCATTCTTACTGTGTGTTAGCATGTATGCTTTTATTTCGTAATGGATTCAGTCTAGTGAGTTTATACCACTCTCAGGCTCCCCTCCAGGACAACTAGATTAAAAACAACTTATAGTTGTGTTGTGTTTTTTTTAACAGGATCTCTTGGACCCTGCTCGATGGAGAATGCTGATACAGCAGTTTAGATATGATAACTACAGACTACATCAGCTGGGAAACAATTCTGTTTTTACTATAACACTCCAGGCAGGCCTTTCAGCTATAAAAACACCGTATCCTTCAGTGCAGATACTGCTGTTGAGCACAGTGTTTTTCCTATGAATGCTGCTCAAAGTGAAAAAGAAAAAAAAAAAAAAAAAAAATGGACATTTACTTATTTTTTGTTTCTACATTGTTTTCATACTGGGTCATCCTTCCTATGCATTCTAGGATAATATATTTGCAAAAGTTGGAGAGCTGGATGAGAGCCACAGGTTTTTTTTTTTATAGCTACTTGAGAGTTTATCCCACTTGTTTTATAAGAGTATAAAATATATCCTACATCTTCAGAAGGTTGGTTGTTTGCTGTACAGCACAGTCTATTTAAGAAAGGCTGATGCTACTGACGTGCTCTAGAGGAAAAGTATTACCTAGGAGTGTGCCAGGTGCATGTTGTTCACTGCTGTTCCTTCTTGAAAGCAAGCACTTGATTTTTGTATGCACACATTAAACTTGAATAGTTGCACGCAGGGTATAACCTAGTCCAAACTTGCACAGATTACTGTATTTCTGATGTGTGTTTCATTAACTGATTCCTATTGTGTCTGTTGGTTGTACCTTAACTTGTTAAATAGACAGTGCTATAAAGAGGATGGGAGTTCAAAAAACCCAGACTGCCCTGTGTGTAGCAAATCCCTGAACAAGCTGGCTCAGCCTCTGCCTATGGCACACTGTGCCAACTCCCGACTAGTCTGCAAGATTTCGGGGGATGTAATGAATGAAAATAATCCTCCCATGATGTTACCAAATGGATATGTCTATGGATACAATGTAAGTGTTGAAATCATTGCCTTACTGATGGCTGAAATAGCAGTGGTCACAGTAACTTCCTCTGTCAAAATAAGAGCTTGTAAACTGGAAGCTGGAAGGATCATCTCTATTAGTGGGGGATGAGGGGGGGAAAACAGCCCTTTTACAGTAATTCTTAAGGGATTGCATGTGATAAAGTTGTTTTTTAAAGAAAGTAACGTGTGGTGAACATGGAAACTGATAGTGTGAAATCAAATGGCACAGAAAATTTTCCCTTCTGGAGTGTAATAATATAGAGCAAGTACCATGTGGGCAAAGATGTTTTCAGCTCAGCCTGTACCTTAAAAAAGAAGGAATTGTTTACTAAGCAGTTAAGAACGCTCTGAGTTATGAATGCTTTGAGATACTGTTGTGAATATTATCTTTTGATTTCATTCTTTTCCAGTCTCTGCTTTCTATTCGTCAAGATGACAAAGTAATTTGCCCAAGAACCAAAGAAGTCTTCAACTTCTCACAAGCTGAGAAAGTCTACATCATGTAGGTCCGTACAAACAAGACAAAGTGCCGCTGGAATTTTGACACAGTGTACGTTGGCATTCCCTGTAAAGGGGGGGCCTTAATGTGTGGCAAAGAAGCAAAACCTGCCACCTTGGTGATCAGACCTGTCGGTGGCATTATTGTTTCTTGCGACCAAAGATCAATGAGCAACAATAAACACTCTTCAAACAAAAGAAAAGAGGAATTATGACTTAAGTTTGTACTTGAATAAAAACAAAAAGAAGCTTTGATTGTCAAGGTTTTGTAACATAAGGTCAAAAATTGGACTCTTCTCAAAAGTACTTTCATCTTTTAAAGGATAACTCTTTAAAGATGGACACTTGCACTGGGGGAGAAGTTGCAACAGATTGGAACCTAAATCCATGTTTCTTCCCTCTTCTTCACAATTGTCCAAGACCCTTTTGTTATGAAAGATTTCAGTACTACAAATACTCTCCTTTAAGCTCCTCTTTGCCTTCTTTATGATCCTCTCGTGAAGTAATCATGATCATGAATCATGTAACTTATTTCCATGGGAAAATATTGTTGTTGTTGACATGAGACTGGCTTCTCTGGAGGATCAACTAGGGACTGGTTTGAAGGAGTATAAAGTCTTTTTCCAAACCCAAATATTTTAAGGAGGTTGCATAAATATTGAGAGAAACTGAGAACATTTCAGGCAAAATTTCATGCTTGTTTAAATGTTCTTTTTCCAGTCTACCATAGTGTTAAAGTCCTTCTAAAGTTATTAGTTATGTGCATAGGGTTCAATATGAAATCATTAGTGCTACTGCCTTATTTCTTGCTTTGAGAATGTACTCACATGAAAATGAGCTGGTATTCTTAAGTGTTGGGCAAAGTTTCTGAAGATGCCTTGCAGGATAATTACATAATTTTAGGGCCTAAATAGTATTCATTACTGAAACTAATAGTTCAATTTTAATGACTACAGAACACATCCTTATGACTTTTGGAAAGAATTAAACCATTGTAGTTTAAACAAAACCATATTGTAGAGGTTTGTATTTAGCGCTTATTTTTGCATGTTGATGTTGATTAGCTAATAAAAGATTGTAAATGTAAAACATGTTAATAAAAACTGTTTTCCATTTCTTGATTATATAAAATAAGAAAGTTCCTTCGTATTTAAATGGTTAAAAAAAAAACCTCTTATAAGGGTCACACAAGGAGTGCAATTTTGATGTGTCTTTAGTATTATGCAAGGTAAAATCATCTGTGTGGTTTTCTCAGGCTCTAAATTAAGAGCATCTCAGCCAAATACATATTCTTGGCTTAAACTTTTCACATGTGAACCATACACCGCTCTGTTCCTGTCAGTTCTGTCACTTCCTCCAGGACTCACAAAATCACAACTTTATAGGCTATAAGATTATATGCATCTCTGCCACTATCAGTTCAGTGAGATCTCCTATCAGCTATGTCTTCAAAGGTTCCATTTTCAATAAGCATACGTTATTGATGCTTCTGAGCTGGTGCATCAGGAGTGCTGCAGTGCTGTCAGTTTGGCAGAGACCAGTTTTTCCTGTGCTCCTTGCTGGAAGTGTCTGCTTCCCTCAGCATTTTCTGAAGTAGCAGATATAGGTGACTCCTGCTTAGGTGGAGACAGATAATGAGAGCTGGCATCAGTAACTGGAGTAATTGGCAATCAAAGTGATTTATTTTTTCCTTCCTGATAATGCAAAATTAGGAGCATCAGCTCAAGCTTGCCCTGGGGAAAGCATTGCTGAAATCCAAGTGCAGCAGCATCTGTTTCATTGACTCTGCACGTTATCATAGCAGGAGAAGGACAAGGAGAATTTTTGAGAGTGGCAACCTCTCCCTACTTCATAGAACTTCATAGAAAGGCAGGGAAGGGATGTGTGTGTGGTTTGGGTTTTTGTTTTGCTTTTTTTTTTTTTTTCTTTCTTTCTTTTTTTCTTTTTGTTTCCCTATGTGTGCGTTGGGTTTTCTTGATCAGTTCTGCAGAAGTGAATGGTAACCAGCAAACAGTAGCAGGTCATGGAAATTGTTGCTTTTGCTTCTTTAAGTACCAGTTAGAGCTGCGGCTTCCTGAGATTTCAGCCCTTTTTCCTTTCTGTGGCCTAAGGGGAGTGATGGAAATCCATGCTCCCTGAGAACTAGCTGGGGGAGTGAGGGAGGAGAGCTGCTGTCCTGCAACAGGAGGGCCTTTGCTTACAGAAAAATCATTTTAGCATCCAGTTGCCAGCCTGCATCCCTGATGGTGTGCTAGAAAGTGCACTCCAGAGGTCCAAAAGAAGCTCTTATTAGCTGTGACTGCTTGCTCTGGAAGCCTGCAGTCAAACCACCTATTTGGACTGCAGTGAGCCTTGTTTGTTCCAGGCAGCTGCTGCCTCCTGGCTCACCCCTGTGGGCAGTGTCCAGTGCAGGCCCTGCAGGGTGCCTTTCATTCTCAGCCTTACTCCAGCATGACTTCAAAACCTCCCAGCTTCGTGGGGGCCAGAAATGGCTGCAGGCAGAGATTGCTGCTGCTGGGATTTCTGGTCTGTATTCCCTGACTGCTCTGCCTGGAGTCCAGAATCCAGCAGACATATCAATTTGTAGTTCCTTCAGGCATTAAACCAAGAGCAGCACATGACTCACAGCAGGTATGAACTTGTTGCCTGTAAACCGCATTTTAATAGCTTCGTACTCTGCTATTCTGCATCTTGATTTTGTGTCAGCAGAGGAGGTGGCCTGTGTACGCCTGATTTCTTAATCTCTCCAACTATAAGTATGGATGGATGTTTCCTGCCAACATCCTACAACATGACTGCATTTATTCCTGCTTCTGTGTACAGTGGGAAGATAATTATGGAAGAACAGTTTATGTAACACTGAAAGTGAGGTAGGGTTAGAGATGCTTCCCTCCACAGTTGGAAGTTTGGGTGCAGGTTATGCTTAACACTGATCTGAGGTACTTGTGGAAAAACCTCAGCTTGGGATCTAATCCCGATTTTAGTCTGAACTCAAGTTTTGCAACTCAGCAAAGAGAAATTCTTCACTTCAGTGAAATTATTCCTAACCTTAATGCTGGCTGGCAATGATCCTTTCACTGAGGAGCCTTGGGGTTTGAAATAACGTGTCAGACCGCAGTGCAAAATCTTGCAATTTGACCTTACTAAAGTGACTGGAGATGTGTACCCTAAGCCAGAGAAAATCAGCTGCAGGGTAATAAGTGCCACAGAAAGAACAATAGGAAACAGCACAAGAAATGGAAAGGCTGATGAACGAGAAGAGCTGTTTGTTTGACTTACTAAAATACGAACGAGGTGTCAGGGTGGAGTTGAGAATGGCTCAAAGCCATTCATCTTTCACAGATGAAAATAACCGCAGGTTATTTTGAAAGCATGAGAAGAAAAAAAATAACATGAAACTACTGCATCGCTGAGGTGGGATTCCAGATTGATCTGTAGAACAGCGCTCAGCACCCATCTTGCTCCTCATATAGACGGTGATGTTCAATTTGGGGTGAGGTGGAGAGGGAGATGTGCTAAGCCACACCGAAATAATTCAGCAATGTGGAAATGAAAAAGTGTGTGCAAATTTTAGAAATCAAATAATCTTTCACCTGGAATTTTTAATTGATGAGTTCTAGGAAGGGAAAGCTGATAGAGTATCTGCCTTGGGTATGTGTTTGTAGAGCAGTTACCAGAATAACTGGTAAATGGTATAAATGGGGTAAATGGTAAATGGAATAACTGGGAAATGGTTTTAAGTTGAGGGAGGGAAGATTTAAGTTGGATGTCAGGGAGAAGTTCTTTACAGAGAGAGTGATGAGGTGCTGGAGCAGGCTGCCCAGAGAGGGGCTGTGGGTGCCTTATCTGTAGAGGTTCAAGGCCAGGTTGGATGGGGCCCTGGGCAGCCTGGTCCAGTATTAAATGTGGAGGTTGGTGGCCCTGCATGTGGCAGGGGGTTGGAGATTCATGATCCTTGAGGCCCCTTCCAACCCTGCCCATTCTGTGATTCTGTGATTCTGTAATTCTGTAATAACAACATGATGAGGGGAATAGGGAGAAAGAAAAGCTGGTGCCTAGATATCCTCAAACTTACTGCACTGGAGAATGCAGTTGGTGGACAGCTGAGTGAAGGGGATGTGTTTACTGAGATACATCTGTCACACTGCTGTGACTGTTGCTGTTAACGAATCTCCTAAAAATGCAGCTGTACTGCAGTGTTACGTGTTGCTGGCATTAGCTAGTACCTGGGGGAGGGATTAGAAATGCCATGAAGATCTGGCTAAGAGAGAGGCCAAAAGGCAGTGTGAAGGGCATGATGACTGATGAGGTTCCTGAGATCCTGTCATGGAACTGATGCTAGTGATCATTACTGGTGTCACACAAAAAGCAGGAATGTAACAAAAACAGTTTCAGTGAGATTATTACACAGGAAGGAAAGGAGACAACATGGAGAAGCTGACTACCAAACTTGGGATGGTTTCAGTGCTGGAATTCATTCAGCTGTTGATTAGAACCTTACTTGGGAAAGTTTTCATTAAGCACTGTGGTCACAGAGGGCTTTTAGTCTCCAGTGTGTTGCATCTTTGACATAGAAACACAGCCCTAAGGTGGAGTTACCACCAGGATGAAGGAGTGGAGCAGTGAGGGGACCTGGTGATGCTTTCCTGGAGCGTCCCTTGTACTACAGCTGGTCGGCAGCGTCAACCAGAAGCACATCCCCTGCTCAGCTGGCTCCATGTAAGACATTTCCTTCATCCCCACATTAATGCACAAAGCCAAGGCTGGCTATATGGAGGTAACACCTCAGGGCTGTGCCTGTTCCTTTGGCCCTATTTCCTGTCCCATGAGACAAACCCATGCACTGTGTATTTCTGAAGGACATCTCCCCTGCTGAGGAGCAGGTTTTCCCAGGGCACTCCTCTGAGTTCCCAGCCTGGACTTTCTCCTGATGGAGCTGGAAGGAACAATGAGGAGGGAAAGATGATAAAGCCTATTCAATCCAGGACAAAAGGATTGTCAATTAACTTAAATATTTTGTTCCCCACCCGCAGATATTAAGCAGGATGATGCAGACAAACCCCAAAAGGAAATAAACAGATAAACAGCAGATAATTTCCTTTTCCTCCTTTCATAGCCATAAGCACCATCAGAGTCCAGAGCTGACTTCCACCTAGAAAATGAAGGATTTGGGCCATGTCTCTGGATGGCTGCTGGGGTGAAGGAAGATGCAGTGTTATCTCAGGCCATCTCTGTTGGCTGCTGTGTTGCCTCAGTTCTGCATGTAGGGATGAACTGCAGCTCTGGTCCTGGTGATCCACTGGATGGTTTCCTAATTCTTACAGTGCTATGGGAGGAGCTGGGAGCCTCCAGGCTCTATAAGTGGGTCCTGCTCTCAGAGCATTTGGAATTTAATCATCTCTGAGTATGACTCAACTGTGTGCATGGACAGTAAACTGGGACACGTTCAGCTCCAAGATAAATGGCCCTGGGACAACTGAGTGCCCTCAGGGCCTGGTCTCTCCTGTGAGGTGGTCATACAGTGAAGAATGTAAGGGAACTGATGTATTTACAAAAAATTCTTATCTATCTTCTGGAACTACGGACACCTTCATAGTAGGAATAGCCAAGGCTGCTGCTTCAGGATGTACTGCATAACCAAGTCACCAGCTGATTCTGGCCCTGCCACCTCTGTTTCATGGACAAAACCTTCTCCACAACTCAGTGCCTTGTAACAGAGCCAGAAGCCATATTTCTGCAGTCTCCTGATATCAAATGACCTCTCTTCAGCTATTTACAATCCAGAACTGTGATTATCTGGAGCACATCTGTCAGAAAAACTTCATCAGGAGACCAAGAATGTGCTTTCTCACTGCTAAAATATGTGCTTCATTTCCAGTTTGAATTCATCATTTGTTTGTGGTGGGTCGGGTTGGTTTTTTTCAGTGCCATTCTAAAGATTGTTTCATGTGCTTATATCTTTCCCTGAAAATCTTCTCAATTTATGAAAAGTCACCTCTCAACTTTGTTTCAGAAAATCAAAACTGATTCAAATCTTTACAGGCATTTTGTCCAGCGGTTCTGGCAGCTCCCAGCACTGCAGATGGGGCAGGAGCATTGCGTAAGAACTGGAGCTGCTTTAACCCACCTGCACC